GAAAGAAAGAAAGAATGAAAGAAAGAAAAAAATGCTTTATTTGGAAGTAGCCATAACTAAATCAAAGGGGAAAATTACAACAACTTGAACGTAGAGAAAATGTTTGACTTCCTTGTAATCTGAATAATGACTGATTGATTTTTCCTTCATATACCACTCTACTAGTTATTGATTCTATAATGAACGGTGTATTAATCAAACACTGTATGGATCGTATATGACGTTTACATAGCTTATTGCGATTCCAAGTAACACGCGACCGAATTGACCATCAACACAAATGAAAAATTGAGTTTTRGTGGACGTCCATCAAAATGTCTATGGTTTCCGACTTCAAATWGCAATTTATTTTCAATCATGAGCACGCAGCGGTGGCTGCAGGATAAAAAAGCAGGCGCTCTTTGAAGTACAGGCATGTAGCAAGGCTTAGAAATGTAGAGGGACAACTTTTTTCCAGAAGACCGCCAAAATAAACCCGTCTAATTATACTCAAGCCAAGTCAACACCAATAATTTACGAAAGTTGATCATTGATTTCTGTACATTCGGTACACTATACTGTACGATCAGTTCAACTTAACGTACCTCAACCTCATAAATATTAACTTGGCCTCGTATGTTTTCTTTTAAAAAAACGAAAAAATAAAGAAAAAAGAGCTAAAAAACTGTGGGGGATGGTGACTCGGCCGCCAAAATTCACAATAACCCTCAATAGGAGCTGAGAGCCGAAAGATTTTCAAACAGCACAAAACCCAATATATGRTGAAGTGAACAATCACCTATGTTATTCAATGTCACAGCTTCCAACACTGTGTTTCATMTCAGCTGAAAGAATGAAATCATAATATTTACAAGAATGAATAAGTTTATMTTTAATTAACGTAGTAGATGGAATCTTACACGCACTTGCTTTATTATGCCAGATGTTACTTAACAGGTGRAACAAAGCTGTAGCATCGACTAATGCTTGGTCACTGCTCAGTGTAAAGATGTCAGCAATGACAGTCCAAGAAATCGTTTTTGCTGTCCTGTTTTCTGTTGTTCTGGTCTTCAATATAGCAGGAAATTCTCTCGTTATTTACATCATCACCAATGGACGAGGAATGAAAACCTCCACAAACTATCTGCTGTTAAACTTAGCTGTTGCAGATATTTTATGTGGTGTTTTTCTTACTCCTAAATTCATAATCCAACCTTTCTTTCGTCATTCCGTGCCAGATGGAGTTCTTGGTGAGTGGCTGTGTAAACTGCTGTTATTTTGTAACATCGCATGGATGGCGTCCAGCGCTTCTATTTTCACTATGGTTTGTTTATCAGTTGAACGATACTTTGCTGTTTGTCGTCCTCACAACTTCCGTCAGCGTTTCTCGCCGAAGATCGTCAAAGTGCTCGTTATGGTGTCCTGGATATATGCTGTTGTTGTTGCGTCCCCGACATTTGTTTTTACCCATTTCAGCAGAGAAAGTTTTGCTTGCGACATGAACATTCCAGGTCATTCTATCTTTATTCTGATAGAATCAGTATGTTTTTTAATTTTGATGGTGTTTCTCCTGACCAAGATATGCATGTCCCTCTGGTGCAAGCAGACAGTCGAACCTACAGGAGAACGAGA